TGGGAATGATTTGATGGTACATGATAATTTGCGCGATGATTCCAATGATTAAACATACTCCGAAGAAAAATCTGGTCAGAACTACGTCAAATCAACATGGCAAGCATTACAACATGTAATGAATGTTGTGTTTTTAGAAAACTGGATATGTTCACACCTGACTGTAATGAATGTAAGAAACACCCAAATACAACATGGAAATACAACAAATCATAAGCAACAAATGAACGACTATAATAAACAGCATTATCAAGAACATAAGGGAGAAATTGAAGCGCACATTAAAGGTATGTATATGGATTGCTTCTATTGTAAACGTCCAGTTCAAGAATATAGAATGAAGCGACATATTGAACCAAACAAACATCAAAAACCATTGCTCGCCTTTCATACTAACAACAATGATCAAATGAATATAACTTAAAGCACGAAAACCGCACGACAAGATGTACAACAAGACGTATTGCAAATTGTGATAACCATTACAACCCAAAACACCCCAGAAATCTATGTAATAATGTAACAGATTAAGACACCCCAGAACCCGCCTCGGTTTTTAGAATGAGGGGATAAATGTCAACTGAAATGTTTGTCTACTTAAATGAATAAGAAAATTGGGAATGAGATGTCAAGAACCACCAAAAACGCCGTCCAAAATTGAAATTTGAGATTTTGGAGATTTTGGAAAAGTTTTTAGAGTTGAAAATGAAGACGGTGATTTTGTAAGAGTGAAAAATGAATAAGGCTGTTTTCATGAAATCATGATGAGAATGAGGAAGATGATAAACATTGTACATGAATACTACTCAAAAATGAACCTAAAAAAATGAAAATGAGTGTAGTTCCTGAATTGAGTTGATGGTACGGGCGCGGTGGCGAGTCCCAGTCACCCCTGATTACTGATCATTTGGGAGTGGCACCCTCCCCAAAAAGATTGAGATATGAGGATATTAAGAAATGATTTAAGGACAGTCCTCTTGTCGAAATCTTGGTGTGCAGCGGATGGCCCATGAAAAACAAGATGCTTAGCCTTTATGCACGTTTATACATTTAGATGCAGGGAATCTTGTAGCAATAGAAGGATGAGCCAAACTCGCCTCCGAACCCTCATAAGGCGTCCATGGTCGCAAAGGCACTAGTGATCCTAGGCGCTTTACTTAGAGCGCCGGCGCTTTACTTAGAGCGCCATTTACGACTGGGCCCCCGCACGCACCGTGGATACACGGACAATTGCCACCGCGGGAGATGGGAGGCGAGGCCCTGCAAGCAGTTGCTTGCCTTACCTGACAAGGATGCCTGGAACCGGGGGAGGGGGCGCGCGCGCCCCCCCCGCTTCCCTTGGCGGCGGCCATCAAATAATAGTAATAATGGTAATAATCGTAATAACAGTAACAATGATAGCTCCGTTAACCATGGGCGGAGGCCTTGCCTGCGTTGCCCGCTCCTGGGCGCAGCCCCTTATAACCCCTGTATACTATGTTGCCATATTGTTAATCCCTACTAAGGACCAGCAAGATGTCCTTGTCAGCTTGTATTCTCTTCATCCAGGGGCTCCCCGTCTGAGAAGCTTCAGCCGCCTCATGCTCACCATGCCAGCATGCACCCTTAAGCCTCTTTTCGCCCAGGACTAAAGTGCCACCCGGAGCCAACTTTTTATCCCTATAATACAATTTCTGCTCCATTTTGTAAGCTGAAAATCAGCAACGTAGTCGAGCAGCTGCTCTCTGGACGTCGGCAGCGAAGCTGCGCGCGACGAAATAGGCGGCCGTGTCCAACATCTCAGGACATCGAACTTTACATTTTTGGCAATTTCTGGCTTGCATGGACGCAAGCTGCTACCAACTGTCCAAGCATCAATTCAAATCCGCTCCTGCGATGAAACTCTAATCCTCCTTGGACCTCCGTAATACCAATAAAAAGGGTCTTGGAGAGTATAACAATGTGCATAATGGAACCCTAAACCCTAAACCCTAAACCCTAATCAAGAATATTTAAAGCTCCTTCCAGCACCCGTGCGAAAGCCAGGCTGCCCATGAGGCCAAAGTCATCCCGGCTTCAGCACCTGGCTCGCAAGACCAAATGGGAGTTGGAGAGCAAATCCCCTATATGAGTGTTTCCCAGAAATGCGGGCCCCCGTTATGTACCCAAAAAATCTATACTCCTTGACATAGGGACTCCATAAACGACCCCAGTCCATCTCTCGCTCTCTAACACACACACACTCGTGATAACCAGACTTTCAAGCTGGAACCGTCACAGCGCAATTCCAGAGCAACCCGTAGCCGCAGGAACGTGTGACGTGGATGCAGGTGCTCCTGTTGGATCCATCCTGATGGCGGCAGGAGCAGCCAGAACCCTAAACCCTAAAACCAAAACTCTGAAACCCTAAGCCCTATAGCCTATAGTAGTTTCCAATATTACACCAAAATGCTTCAGTTTGATGTGGAGCTGCTACCGGCTCACCAGCTTGTGTGAGCTCAAAGTAGGCTGTGCTAGGAAAGTGGGCCATAATGTAGACCCATGATCAATAAACTCCTCCTTTTAAGCGCCTTAATATTAGGGTTTAGGGTTTAGATCCCCATTATGATCCCTATTAAGGGTTTAGGGCGTAGACCCATGATCAATAAACCCATGATTCATATAGGGTAATATTGGGGTTATATAGGGACACTGGAAAAGGAAATGGAAACTACTATTTAGGGTTTAGGGTTCAGTGTGTAGACCCATGATCCAGCAACCCCCTCTTTTTAAGGGCCTGAATATGAGGATCCCTGTTTTAATCCCTTTTTTTGAACCCAGACTCATGATGAAACCCTAAACCCTAAACCGGGAGGGGGTTTATTCATCAGGGGTCTGGGTCTGGGCACAACCCACATTGCTCAATGATGTTCATTAACAGCCTCCAAGCCGCAACAGTGTTGTTAGGGTTTAGGGTTTAGGATGACCTTCATCAACTCGATTTGTACTGAAACTTTGCTTGCAAAGTGAAAATTGGATCTGTCCTGTGTCACACATGTCAGCAAACAGCTTGTTCACAAATCAGCTAAACCAGAAAGCACCCTTGTTGCCAATTGAATCAAGTGCCATGGCCCGCAACATCAGACTCGTGGAAACAAATCTTGTTCTACGAGCAAAATCTGTCTGACACATGCAATGCTTGCCGAACCTCGCGCGGCTTCCAGATATTGGCAGCGACTGTCCATGGTCGCACGGCGCGCCAAGACTTTGCTGGAACCTCGTGCATCGACCAACAATCATGCTAGCTACAGCTTGGCAAATCAGACACTGAGCGGCTCAGCGTCGCCTGCCACATTGACATGCTGCTATGTGCGTCTAGATCTGATGCAGTAGCATGCGAGCAGCACTAACATGTTGCGTCTGCGGGTGTCGTGTGCTGCAAATGTTGCTTTGCAGCCAAACTTCATCCAAAGCAGTCTGGTCGAACTCCGTTCGGATGCTTTCTAAGATCAGGCCATTCTTAGCATCTCGATACCGGAACAACTCCTCAGTGTTTTGCTGCAGCTGTAAACGGAGCATTGAGATCAATTCCACAACTGGCACATGCTTGCCCAGCCAGCGCTGCAAATGCATGTTGCCAAGACGCATGCAACACCTCTACCCGCAAGACAGCAATGTTGAAGCACATCATGTACACCTGCGGAGCCATTCGGTTCAACGCACAGTGATTCAATGCAAAGGCTTGTGGCGATAAGGAATTTACTTGGAGGGCCGTCTCCGAGCTAGTCCTGTGGTAGGCGCCACTTCAACAATTTAGAGCCAGCGTGGTCGGTCGCCGCGCTTGGGCGCTGTTATCCTATGTAGAGGTAGATGTAGTCGTCGTCGCCGCGGTCATCTTCTCTTTCTCCATGCCGTCGTGGCTGCCGTCGACGCCACCGTCGTAGTAATCATATTCACAATGTCACAGTGTCTTCTTCGTCGTCCTTCGTCGTCCTCCTCCTCCTTGTCGTAGTCGTAGTGTTAGTCGTCGTAGTCGTAGTAGAAATATAGTAATAGAAGAACAAGTAGTAGTAGAGGAGGAGGAGGAGGAGCAGCAGCAGCAGCAGAGTAGTAGTAGTAGTAGTAGTAGCAGCAGGAGCAGCAGTAATGATAGTAGTAGTACTAGTAGTAGGAGGACGCATAAGATTTATATAGTTAACGCCATCATGCTCATTACTTATAGTTTTCTACTAGTATTAATACTAGTTCTGCTGCAGGAGCAGTGGTACCAGTGGCAGTGGTGGCAGTAATAGCGGCGGTAGCAGTAGTAGCAGCAGCGGGAGTAGAAGTAGTAGTCGTTGTCTTAATAGCAGGTTTAGGTGGTCGTTGTTGTGGTTGCTGCTGCTGCTGCCGCCATGGCAACCGCTACCGCTGCGGCTGCAGAAGCCGCCGCTCATGTTGCTGTTGTTGCTGTTGTTGTTGTTGTTGCTGCTGCTGCTGCTGCTGTTCTGAACGGTGCTTTTGCTGTTGTTGATGCTGGTGGTGCTGAGGTAGAGATTTATACTTGCTGATAATGATACGCAATGGCGTCCAGGAAGAATGCCGTCGTCACTGCTGTTGCCGCAGCTGTCATCACCGCCTCCGGCCTCTTCCTCCTGCTTGTGCTGTCCTCCTCCTCATTCTGGTTGTGGTTGCCTGGTGCCCTCGTATTGCGGCTGCCACTGCGGAAGCGCAAGTCAGGGTGCGTGGTGGGCGTCTCTTCGCCCAGACGAAGGGTGTAAATGCAGCTTTCTTTGGGCGAGGTTGACTCTGACCTTTCTGAGGTGAAAAACTTCCACGCCCATGCTCACAGGGAAGTGAGGCTAATGCATAGCTTCAGCCTGGCCGAATTCCACCTTGGCCGAATTCCACCTTGCTTTCCAGCCTGCGAGACGGGGTCAATTGAATTCTTCCTGACTTTTTGGCAATCTGCCAGATAAGCGGCAATGGACGCAGAAGAAACAAGAGCATCGTTGTGGCAAGGCACGTGACAGAAGGCTAGGCTGTTTAAGCTTCTCAAGAATGGTAGCAGGCGTTGCTTATTGCGCATGAGAACATGAAGTATCAAGCTAGGTTCTGCCTGCTTAATGTGAACGTATCCGGACATGTGGAGAAGGAGACAGCTTTGAAGCAATTGCAGCATTTGAAGTTGCCTATCCAGCAGGGCAGAAACAGATCAAGAGGAAGAGGATGGACATAGTAAACATGAGGTCAGAACTTAGCAGACTTAGCAGTGGCGCTTTGCATGGCAGTCGCGCGAAACACAAAACCTTCAAGGTTTGCTACAGCGACGTTGGTTAGTTCACTCTCGGTCTGGTTTTCTGCAATGAACTCTTGCAACTATGACTTGTGGCTGACTTGCGTGGCCTGTACATTGTCAAGAGTGCACGCCGCAGCTAAGCGCTGGGCACAAGGCCACTGTGGCTGCGGCTGCTGTCACTTCTGCTGTTGCTGCTGCGTTGCTGTTCCTGTTGTGGCTGAGTCTTCCTGCATCTTTGCTGAAGGCTGTTGGAGTTACCGCTGTGGCTGTTGTCAAACATTCCTGGCCTCATGACATAGGGGTTCTACAGGGATTCTCAAAATGAAAGCTACTATTTAGGGTTTCTAAAGGGATAAGGGACAAGAACATGGAAACTACCGTTGAGGGGTTAGGGTTTAGGGTGGTGGCGCCAAGTTGATGCCAAGGTCCAATGAAACTCTAAGGGTGAGCACCTCAGCACAACTTGTGGTGCGCACTTGACTAAGCAACTCTGGGGCATTGTGCTGCGTGACGTGCTTCCCCTTCCCCGCTCCTCAACACGCACGTTACTCAACTGAAGCCGCGAATCAACAACCGTCAGAAAATCCAAACCAATAGCAATACTTGTAATCATTAAAGCAATGACAATAACAATAGGAGTATCCATTTGGTTGCTGCGAGCCTTATGCCAGGGAGATGCGCTGCCATACGTCTGCACTGGCTGGCAGAGCTGCTTCTGAACCTGGCGCGGTGTCCCCACAAAGAAGAAAACATAGCCGAGCGCATTAGAAAGACTAGTGACAACTTGGGTTTTTAGGGATTCTGTAGAGGTTTTAGCAGGGCCATATTGGGGGGGGATTCCCGAAATTAAGGGTACCATTTCGGGGGTTCCGATAGTAAGGATTATAGTCTTTTGGGGTCTATATTGGGGTCCACCTATTCAGGGAAACTACCCTACAGGGGTTATATAGGGCTTCTAGTGATAGGAACTATGGGCTTCAGTCCAAGGGCACTGGCTCGAGATGCCTTCAAGGCTAGATTGTTCGGTCCGGTCTTACACAAGAGGCCGCAAAACCCAAAGCAGTGAAGCCTGAAACCGTCACATTATGATGATTGATATGGGTGGTTCCCAAAATTAGGGTCCCGTTTTGGTACCCTCAATATCTTGGGTGCCGTAATATAATCTGTAGCCAAAAGGGCCCATAATTTTCAGAACGTCCATGATGGTCATGGTATGATTGAGATTCTTCCTCTTCAGTATTCATGTTAATGATGGCCAGGCTCATGCTTGGACGCTGTGGTGACATGTCAAATTAACCCCACTTGGCCAATGTTGCAGACCTAAAGCCTGGAACCCTAAACTCCTTGAGGCTACAGTACTATATTTGGCAGTTACCTCGTTGCAAACCATTCCAAAGGTGCTTCCAAAATACATCTTATGCCAAAAACGCCTGCTGCCCTGTCTGCAGTAGTTAGCATCACCGCAGATTTAGACCGTTCATCTACGCACTGTTGCGCAGCACTAGACTCACTAGACAAAAGCCCTGACAAACCTCTTACTGT